CAGGTATTTTAACAAAGAAACGAGATTTGTACGTGCTATTCCTGATCTAACACATAACAAAGCTACTTTGTGTGAAGTTACAAAGGAAGCAATTGTAAGAATTGTATCATTGGACAAAACAGATATAAAACTGAAGATACACTTTGTATTACCTTTACATACATACATCTCGTCTATCCTTACTGTTCGCTTTTTAAAGAATTAGCCTAACAAACAGATACTTTGAATCAATGAATATTGAAACGAATTGTAAGTTATATCATCAAACATCACTTGTTGTGATCCTGAAACGAGTTACAAGTTACATAATCCAACATCACGTGTTGTGATTCTGAAACGAGTTACAAGTTACATCATCAAACATCAGATGCTATGATCTTAATAAAACCTTTACCGTATTATATTTCCCTCTTTGACTTACGTCAGTTCTTTACACATCTTCATTTTGGAACATTTAAATCATATAACGCCTTCTTTCTTGTTTGTATTTTTCTGTCTTTCGTTTTTATTTTTAACTCATTTATAATTCGTAGTATTGTTCTTTACTTTTACTTTCACTCTCTTCTTAGCTTCATCTTCAAAATTGACTTGAATTTGTATATTTTTAGACGTTTTTGGTTTCTCCTACGTTATATATATATAATGCGTACCCTGACTCTCTTTTTAAATGGGTAAATTCGTTTTCCTCCCTTTTCCGGTCGCTCTTTTTCGTCTTGCCTTCTTTATAAAGTTAACTTAATTAACTTTTTAATGTACGACAGAGACCAGATTGTTGCTTGGGGAATAAATTATGAAACTCTGATTACTCATATTTTCCTTCTTACTTTATCATAGCTTCTTATTCTTTTGTTATGCATATGGTTACGATAAATTGAATTATTACGGAAACTGACAGCTTTTAATAAAGATCCTTGGAGTTTAATCGACATTATTAAAATTACATAAACAATTACAAACACAAAGTTTCAAGCTAGAAGGCTACAGCTAAATTAGCGACTAAGAAACGCAAAAAAAACAAAAAACAATGCATTTTGTCACAGATCTTTACTATTAATTATGCCTCACTTGCGCCGCATAAAGTAATTTCGGAACTTTGATGTTATTTTTATATTATTTTTATTTTTTGTCAAAAAGTTATTGTAAATTGTTAGCTTAAGTTAGTCCTAAATCCCCTAAGTTGGTTGAGCTTCGTCAAATATTGTCCCCCGGTTGGACAGCGTTAAATCTTCGGATTTACAACGCTAAAATCAGGGGTTCGATTCCCCTCGGTGGACATGGCAGATAGCCCGATGTGGTTTTGCTACAACACATACACACATTCGTCAAATATTATTGAGAGTATGGCCACAAATATCGCTAACATTTAGGATACACAACTGAAGAAACATTCCGATCTTACCTACAACGCTAAGAATATTTTGTTTCATCAGTATATTTAGTTAGCTATACTCATTACTGGATTGATTTGTTAGGAGCTGTGTACATACCTTGCTTTGATCAGAAGTTAATGTTTATTTGTCGTAAGTTAGTAAGGAATAAACACGGCATCTGAGGTTTTAGTGTTACATTTTCCATAAAAGTCAAATAGTTGAGCTTCGTAAACCTTCAGTCAATAATTACAGCATTTTACTAGCATTTTTGTCAAATAATTAATTCACACACTATTTAATGTTTCAGATCGAAACTTTGTCTCAGTGTGTCCCCCAGTACCTCAGCGGGAAGTCTGAAGGCTTATAACGCAAAAAAACAAAACAAATTTCGATACGCATGGTGGGTATAACACATATAGCACATTGTGTAGTTTTGTGCTTAACCACAAAAACAAATTGCACTGTACATGAAAATTAACACACTTTCGTTCTCTACATTTTAAAGTTTTTCGATATTTAGAAAATGTACAATCAGTCATCTTCTAACTG